CAAATTCCGCAGCCTCCTGAGCACTGCTGAGGATGAGGTCGCCTGCTGCTTGCTGAGAAACTACAGACCTCCCCAGCCCCTGAGGGGACGAGAAGTCAGAAGGAATTAAAGGAGTAAAGCCAGAGTAGCCTCCCTCTGAAACCAAAGGCTGAATGAATAGTTTATATACTTTATGATTTTTAATATTTTTCTTGAGTTGTTTTAACAAATGGGTGTTGTTTTATTGCAGTCATTTCTCACAGACAAGTATGTCCTGAGCTGTGCAGGTTCATTGTCGTTAACAGGTCTGACTGTGTTTGAGTGTGCTGGTTTGGGAGCACTGATCCATTAGCATAGCATGCACAGAGGGCACTGCTAACCTTAAAGGTCAGATGTGGTGAAGGAGTTCCCCAAAATTTGCCACCAACTTACTGAACGGGATCCCTGATATTGGCAGTGTAGGATCTGGCATTATTCTTCTGGTCTCTAACATAACATTTAGCTTCTGTATAAGACTTCACACAGTAATTCTCAAGGAAAAAATATTTCAAGGATGATATAATTTCATTGCTAACTTCTGCAATACCATGCTTACTTTCCTACAAAAAGCAGTAAATGACCAACAGCCTTTAAGTAAAACAGATATTTATATGATCCTGTTATTCTGGCTGCTTCATAGCACTAATCATGTAATGATTCACATGTTTTTTAAAAGCAAATAGTAAGGATTTTGTATATTGCAAGATCATGTAAAGTGGATTAGGTATTCCTGAATTCCACAATGGGTAGTGATGAAATTGTCCTGAAACATGAAAACTGCAAGGTGGAAGTGTATAGAGGGAACTGTTTGTGTCCAGTCTGTTGCATTTGGTGAACAGCAAAGGACTATAATGTTGTATCCATGCAGCATCAGACTTTCCTCTTAAGATCAAGAGGCAGGGTAGCTGTTGCTCCAGACCCTTTCGTATCAGCCATGTTGCACACTGCAGTGTGAACCACATGCTGCATACCTCACTTCTGCACCACCACTGCACCTCACACCAGCACTGCTCAGCTGTGTAATGTCTCCTAGGTGCTGGCTGACCTTCTGGTGTCATAGCTGAACTTGGGTGGTTGCCTTTATATTTCAAGACCAAAGAGAGCAGTCAGAGCAAGCCAAAGAAATCAGAATCAAGTCAGTATCTAATAAAAGATCAGCCCTCAATAGCAATACATTGAAACATCTATTTTTGTGAATTGACTTGAACCTGTGTTTCTCTCAGGAGCTTTTGTTATCTGAATATAATTGATTGGTTTACAACAAATTTATTTTAATCATTTTTAATGAACTTTCCATAGGATGTAGCTTAGGATAGGGAATCCAGTGATTCCTGAAAGAGGCAGCTAGAGGTTTCATGGGCAGCAACTACCACTAATCTCTGTAGTACTTCTGGCCAACTCATCTTCCTTGACTGCTTTCCTTGACTTCGTTTTCTATAGGTTTTATAGGCTCTGCCTGTTACCTCAATAGGACAAACATGAGGGAAATGACAATCAAGATTTATTTTATATGCTGTCTTAATAAGAACAAATTAGACATAGAGACATAGATATTTTAGGTTAGTGTAAAATAGGTGGACTTTTTTGTTTTCTCCTTCCCCAGAATATAGCTCTTACATGCTGCAAGGCCTCCCAGTGCCTTTTGAATGTTTTCTCAAGGAAAGAACACAAAGAGACCATGGGAGAAATAAAAGGCATTTGGCATCAGGAGCAGATACAAGTACTAACCAAAGGGAAAAAATCTGCAGGCACCCTTTTTCTGGCATAGGGAGAAGAATGCAGCTGAAAAGATCCCGGGTTGATTCCTTCTGAATGGGCATGTCAGTAAAGTGTGCACGGAGAAAGCTGGAGTGTGTTGTGTGATTTCATACCCTTTTTTAGACTGTGTGTTGGATCTGATTCCCTGTCATGTGAGTAGCTGCAGAAAGTGAACAAAATGTTTGCAAATTGCACAAAGGATACAAAGTTTGCTTGCCTCAGAAGATAAAATAATAAGGCTACTGCTTCATATCGTAAACAAAAGGTTTATGGAGTTTTTATGTATTGAAAACAGTGGAGTTGATCCAGTGCTTTGACATTTATAAGGATTTTATCAAAATAAACAATGGATTTTATGAATGTGTCTTGTATTTTCTATTGAAGAGCTAAAAGTTTTACAAAGACTTCAGTTTTGTAATTAGTGCCTGCAGCTGCAGTTTTGGAAAAGATTGTCACCCATCATTTAAAGTCTTATCTTTGGGTAGTGTAGTATTAGGTATCTCTTTATGTTCCAAGTGAAATACTTTGGCAGGGGTAAGACATGCAATCAATTGTACAAGTTTCTGATAGTGCATTTTTGAACACACTGTTTTCATAGTAGTACAAATAAGTCTTAGAAGAAGTCATCATTCACAGTAATTCCCCTAATGTGGTGGTGCTCTGTTCATGTTAGATTGATCTACCTGAAAGTTAGTGGTGACATGTGACAGCCTAAAAATGCTCAGTTGCCTGAAATCCTTTGGGAACAGCTTCTCAGCTTAACCATCTGCTGTAAAGTGGGAATATGGACCCAGTCTCAGCACTGAGCACTTGGTTGCATCCTCAGTCACTAATTTCCTCTATGCCCAAGCTGTGCTGAATCTCAAGAAGACTACATGATGTACTCCCAGAGATTTCAATCTCAAGCATGAACTCTGCTCCAGATGGCTTTAGAGCAAACCAGACCGAAATATGTCATCACCTTCCTGGCAGGTCTCTGATCAACTCTTAACCCTCTGACACACTTGAAGCTGTTATAGTAAGAAGAATGAAATGCTCAGTGACCAAAGAACATAGAGCATATTTGGTGAAAATAGCAGCTGTCAGGAATTGTGTCCTGATGGATGGTTGATCACCCATAAACTTATTATCAGAATTAAATAAACCACAGTAGAGCCCTGGGGTCAAATCTGCTGTTTCTGGGACAGGAAGGAAGCAGTGAGCTCTGCTGTGTGCTTTGCTGTCCTCATAGCCTTTACCAGTCATGCTCATGATGTCTTTCATGTTGTACATGTTTAACATCTGCTGGGAACTTTCTTTATGCCTAAGAAAAAAACCTGGGAAGTAGCTGTCTTTCATACACATTCTGCCATACACCCACTTGCTGTGTACCTGTGCTTTGTTGCTTTAGAGATTTGTCTCTCTGTTGCTTCAGGAAACAGGACTTTCCTAACCTTTCAGACATGAACTGGGACCTAAAAGAGGAAAAAAACCCCCAAGTTGCCAATTAATTCATTACAAAATAATTTCGCAGAAATAAAGAACCCAAGTTGCCAATTAATTAATTACAAAATAATTTCGCAGAAATAAAGTGGGATATAGCATATGAATAAAATAACAGAAATACATGTTACACAGTTTTTGTACACTTAATGGAAAGAAAATTAGGGATTAAGATTCTTGTCTCTTTAAATAGGCAAGGAGCAGATTGCTGGAGATCAATCTTGCCTAGCATTCAGGTGTTAAAAGCTGCAAATAATTGACTTGGAGCACCTTTAGGTTGTAACCTCAGCATGAAGGTACAAATGCAGAGGAACCCTGCTCTAGAGATGTGGCTTTTTTATTTCATTATCTATTAACTAGTCTAAAAAAAAGCATGATGACAGTCTCCCTTATCACTCTGCTGTTGGATAGGCTACATCTAACTTCCGACCTGTTACATTTTGTTGCTCTCCTGACAGTCTGATGTTGCTTTCTAGTTTTGATTGTGACGTAAAGAGTTTGTTTCATTTTTAGTTTTGATTACAGTTGCTTGCCTTTGCTCATTTTTCTTTGATTCTTCTTCCCTGGCGTCTCTTTAGGACTTAGGATAAAAACCTAAACTTATAAGACATCCTCCAAAAATACTGTAGTGTTGTATTTCCACCAATGTTCTGCACATATAGATAGCCTGATTGGATTTCATATTGAGTCTTGCTATTTTTTCCTTGTACAGATCTAGCCTAATAGAGATTTGTTCCATGATTTAATCTCTTAGATACTGTTATTTTCATACTTTTTATTTGTGAAGTACTTGACTCTGGACAGATGCCTTTTCCATGTGCCTGCTGTCTTTGTGAGATAGGAGATAATGCTGAAGTGCTTAAGCAAAAATGGTTCTAAATTCATGTTTTGTTTCCTCTTTCTGTCATCCTCACTATCATTCATGTCAAGTACCAGTTTTTACTGTGGTGAAACATTTGCATGTGTGTTCTGCATCTCTTCTCCTGTGCAGCAGAATTTGAGGACAGACAATGGCTCTGACAAGAGAGTATTGGATTGTAATGTGGAAACAAAGATTCCCTGCCTCTGCTGAGCAGAACTGATGTGCTGTACACTCAATTCCTGTGTCTATTTTGTCAAATTTCACCCATATACTTGGGTACATAAATTGAAATAATTTCCAGATGCTCCATACAGTTTCATTTTTCAGATGTAAGTCATACAAGCTACATGCAACAGGTTGCTGAAATATATATTTTTATGAAGATCTGATTTAATTTTATTTTCTAATTTCAAAATAATTTGAATAAAACATCAGATATTTAAGTGTCAACATTTTGCTTCCAGTTCTTTTATTTTCTACAGTAGTATGAATGAATACCAGACAGAAATGTGGTCTCAACAACATAATTTTCTTTGAAAAAAACAGTGCTTGGATTATTTTTGAGGAAAAAAATGAACCCAGTCACTCTTGGTGTTTTGCAGAGAGTTTGTTCCTGCTTTCTGTTTTCCCTTAATCCTGTTTAAACTGCATCTTCTTATATCATTTATGATTTCACAAATACACTGTTTGCTTGGAAATCACTAAAAATCTCAGCATCCAAACTTGTATTCCAAAATTGTTTTAAAACTCTCATGGTTATGTAGAAAGTACCTATGTATGAATGAAAGGATGCCATGTCTCCAGGTCTGCAGATGGCAGAGGCAATCCAAAACCTGAAGATTTAAATAGTTCCTGTTGCCTATTTCATTGCAAATATAGTTATAAATAAGACCAATATCTTACTGTTGTGACAAACTGTATAATAATACAAGAGTCATGGTACCATGCTATTCAACAACATATTAATCTTGTTAAAATGTCTGCAGAGA